CTAGTGTATATTTTACTTTGCCTGAGACCTACAAGATTTTGTTGAAGTTCTTGGTGTATTATTACTTTCAGATTGCTTATTGGCAATAAAAGATAATAGTTAACGCCTTCTCTGAAGGCAGATTCTTAGAGCTGATGAGTTAGCCAGTCATGCATTCGAAGGCCGTCATGATATTCACATAATTATCTTGAGATGATTTCGGGGCTTAGCGTCCCCGCGGCCCGGTCCTTGACCAGGTCTCCTTTTTTGTTACACCCCCCCCCCCAGGAAGCAGCCCGTAGCAGCTAACTCCCAGGTACCTATTTACTGCAAGGTTAACAGGGGCATCAGGGTGAATGAAACTCAGCCCATTTGTTTCCGCCTCCACCGGGGATCGAACCCGGAACCTCAGGACTACGAATCCTGAGCGCTGTCCACTCGGCTGTCAGGCCCATGAAATGGACTCTGTTACCATCATTAATAATGTTGTATCTGTGTCTAGCTTCAGAACGAGCATGTTACAACAGAGTTTAACGCAATTATGGATAATAATCTTTTGCAATGAATGTGGCAAGTTTGGACACTTGCACACATTTGAGTGCAAGACGGACAGAGGCCCAGTTGTTTATATGGACTCCCCATTCGAAATATAAGCTATCGCCCAATGTCAGGACAAGTGCACTTCCAGCTGCACCCGTGGGGCGGTGTAGGAAACCATCAGTGTGTGTGTGTGGTCTGAGAGACAGTGCTCTGTGGACTGGGTATCATTATGGCTTGAGTTGAAAGGGAAATTAAAAATTGAAATGGGGTAATTTTCCTACGGTGCAGGAAGGGGCCGTTGATGTCTCATGGTACAGATTCTAAATCCTGTACATTCAGAGTTCAGTTGCAGTTTTAGTAATCCATTCTGAACAATATTGACTTACAATAAGCAAGGTTTGGAGGGGTTTTGTTCAAGGGTTAGGATTAGCTTGCCTAAACATTTGTATATATATATATATATATACATTAATTTTTATTTATACATATATTTATATCGGAAAATTAATTTCAGTAACATGAGGGAAGTGGGCTGGTGGATGAGGGAGGTGAGGAGGTGGATGGGCTGGTGGATGAGGAGAGTGTGGGCTGATGGATGAGAGATGAGGAGAGTGAGCTGATGGACGAGGGGAGTTGGCTGGTGGATGAGGCGAGGGGAGGGCTGGTGGATGAGGTGAGAGGGAGTGGGTTGGCGAAGGCTGGTGGTGGTGTACTTGAGAGCTACAAGTGTTGTTGGCTTTACAAAAATCTCATTAAATACCAACATTGTGGTATGATCCATTGTTACTTTCCTGTAAATGGAATAATAATACAAAAAGATTGAAGGAATCATTACTGTTTCTCCTCCTAGTTAATGGCTTGATCAGCGTTGAATTTTTGGTGCTTGCAGCGTTGATTTCGATATTGGCACCACAGCCAGGTTAATCAGGAGGACTTTTATGTGTGTTTTATCATGCTCTCTCTTGAATACAATTATTGAGCTTTCGGTGATTTGCCTTTTTAAATTAAGAGGAAGAGCGCTGAAAACTTAGGGCCCATTTGTTTAGTTATACATTAGTGTACTTATTGCAACCATTCTAGTCAGTGGGACTAATATGTACAGTGCCATATCTCCCAGTGATTTGGATGGCTAGGTTGATGACTCGTAGAATAGTGAAAGGGCAGGGCTGACGACTAGTTGATGGGTGGTGTTAAGGGCTGTTGGATATGTTATTTCAAAGTAGTCAAACATCATGGCCGTCACCGGATGCGAGATAGTCTCTTCCTGTGTCCATGTTGAACCTTGGTTAACACCCAAGACCCATAGCACAGACTGCTCCTCACACTCCATAGCTTTAGCACCCATTTCGAGTAACATTCTCCCCTCATCCCCAAAATATTAATTAACCATAACTTCCCAAAGCACTAGCTCCTTCCCTTCACGTTCTACTAATTCTTCCAAGTTGAACCGGAACAGCTACCTGATATGAGAGGGAGTTGATCCCAATTGAAATTATTATAATAGTTACAAAGAAAGAAGTATCGAGTTGATGAAATATCAGCCGTGATACCTGACAATCTTACCAGGAGTTCTGCTAAAGCTGCTAAAGTATTGTACTAGCCACTTTCAGTCATCTCCAATGCATCACTAGAAATGGGTGGAATAATATAGCTGGGAGAAAGTACGTGTACATTTCCCTTCTTTTTTATTAATATAAGAACCACCAAATTTCAGACCAATGTCCTTAACAAGCATACCATGCAAAGTGCCAAAGAGAATAATTAGACAGAAATTAAGAGAAATGCTGTCTAACAAACCTACTGGAATTCTACGATGGAATGACACAGATCAGACAAGAAAGGAAAGGATGGGCAAAATGAATATAACTTGACTGTCGGAAAGCAGTTTTGTCTTATGAATCCATATGTCCAGTGGTGGTGCTGATCATGATTGATGCTGCTGGTGCCTGATGTAGTTAGTGGTGGTACTACTGATCAAAAATGATTTTGGGAATGTGTAATGTTACATCATGATGTACTGTACAAGGATTCATCAGAGTTAAAGGCAGCTCAAATTTATGACTTGCATCACTCCAGAAATTTTAAGGTAATTTAGTTTTGCTTATAAATCCTAAAATTACTGTACCAAGATTTAATATCTCTGGCTATTGTTGCTTAATAAAATTATGAATCATTATTATACATAAAAATTAAAAGAATTTTAGACCATGTGGTTCTATAGTGTTAATTAATATATATTTTTCAAAATGATTTTTGTCAGGGACAGAAAGCATGTGCATATTTAGGCTTGTAATGATTCCCCTTCCCCCCTGCTTTGGCCTGGGTTCGTATCCTGGCCGGGGAGGATTGACCGGGTCCCAATCCTTAACTGTAGCCTCTGTTCACCCAGCAGTGAATGGGTACCTGGTTAAATGAACAAATCCAGTGTAGTGTAGTATAGTGTAGTGTAAAGGTACCTGGTTGTTAAATGATTTGGTGGGTTATATTCCGGGGAAAATTAGAATCTAGGATCTGCCCGAAACGCTATGCGTGCTAGTCGCTGTACAAGAATGTAAGAACTGTTGTATATATAAAAAAAAATAAACTTGGTGAAAAGGAAACACCCCCCCCAATCATTTCTGTCCTGCCCCTGGAATCAAACCTAGGATCTCTGATGACAAGCTAAGAATGAAACCAACTGTATTAAGAGACCTTTAAAAATATAAAGTTTAAGACCATTTTTTTTTCTTCATTGACCCATTTACTTAGTTTTTGTTGAATCATAGCATTAAAATGTTAATTTTATATTTATCAAAATTTCAAGGACTGATATCAGTATCAAAATTTAATTTAAATTGTGTATTAGAATTCCTGTAATTTTTTTTAACAACTTGGCTTAGTGGTGATACAAGGCATAAAGAATTTTACCCCTTTTAAGGATCATTAAGCTTTAACCCCAGCACTGCGCACTTTTTAAAATGACATTCCTGCTGTGCGCCGAAAATAAATAGTTCCAAAATTATTACTTTTTCTTTTGATATTGTTAAGTAGCACACGAAGCACAAAAATCCAAGTAAAACATCCTACCTCTTGTAGCTTAGCTGTCGTGGCCGGGAGAAGTTGCATTGTTTTGGTAAAAATGAGGAGAGTTGCTGCATAGGAATTACTTTGTTGATTTATTTTCAATGTGTCTCACTTTAAACAGTATTTTAGTTTTTTTGCTCTAACAAGTTGTATCTTTGTCAAAGATGGTGTTCACTATGTATAACTTTTAAGATGTACATATATACAGATGTATGTACAACTATATGCACTCCATATATTTATATATTTATACATACTAATATTATATATGTGTACAGTATATATGTTTTATAATTGGACTTGGCACACATTTTGCCTGAATATATATATATATATATATATATATATATATATATATATATATTTATATATATATATATTATATAAATATATATATATATATATATATATATATATAATATAATATCTGCCCGAAACGCTTTGCGTATAGTGCCTTTAGGCATTGTATGTACTAGCTCTATCTATAAAGCCATAAATTTGTATATGTATATACCTAAATAAAAATTATTATATATATATATATATATATATATGTCGTACCTAGTAGCCAGAACGCACTTCTCAGCCTACTATGCAAGGCCCGATTTGCCTAATAAGCCAAGTTTTCATGAATTAATATTTTTCGAATACCTAACCTACCTAACCTAACCTAACTTTTTGGCTACCTAACCGAACCTAACCTATAAAGATAGGTTAGGTTAGGTCAGGGTTTTTTAGGTTCGGTCATAAAATCTACGTTAATTTTAACTCCAATAAAAAAAAAAATGACCTCATACATAATGAAATGGGTAGCTTTGTCACTTCATAACAAAAAAAATTAAGAAAATATATTAATTCGGGAAAACTTGGCTTATTAGGCAAATCGGGCCTTGCATAGTAGGCCGAGAAGTGCATTCTGGCTATTAGGTACGACATATATTTATATAATATCTATATATATATTATATAATATCTATATATATAATGGTAATCAATCACTTGCTGTCATTAAAATTTGTGGCTCATAGTATGGCTGCCCTGCACGTTCCTAAGGCCATGGCTTTAGGAACATTACATAAACCTTAGCAACATATGCCTCGTTACTTAGGCCATGGAGGGGAAAGTGAGGGACAGGATTTTTTTTTCAAGATGGGGGATGGTTACTGGAAGCCTGAGGATGTAAATGTGAGCCCCTTGTATGCATGAGAATTTCGAATCTGTTGATATACTAATATCACGTGTCAGCTGACACACTACTACACTCCAGAACTGTTCCAGCCAGCATTATTAAGAAGTTAATGTACAGAACAAGTCACTTATGGATATTTCATATGCCATCCATTTCCTATACTGTGTTAAATATTAAAGTTTGGTGTTGCTTCTAACAATATTAGTGCTGATTAGAGATTTTCTTGCAGACAATGAAGCAGTAAAGATGCGGACAAACGACGTGATGAACCAGGCGGCTGCAGCAGCTACTGCAGGTATAGGTACAAGCCTTCTGGCTCTTGGGGGTGCCATCTCTGCTGCTAATGCTAAAGGATCACCTTTGGCAGGAGTCTCGCCTGCCTTAGCTTTTGACCTTACGGCATATACGCAATTACTTCAGCAAATGGCTTCCAAAATTTATCCATATGACCCAGCATCAATGGCAGTCTCTTTAGCAGCCCTTAGTCCAGGTTCCCACCTGCCTCTAGCACTCACAGCACCCCTCTCTCTTACTGCCAGAAAAACTGTATCAAATGCTGATAAGACTACCATGACATCTGCTTGCTCAGTACCTGATAATGATATCAAAATGATCTGGCAGCCAAGTGATAAGCCTGATATAAAAAAAGAAGAAGGTGAAGCTGCCTTAGACCTAACAACTCAAGGTTTAAAGTCTCTCTATTCCTCTTACCGCCGAGCAACACTAGATGATATCAAGCCAAAGGTGGTTGAAGATATCTGGATTGAGAATGATTTGAGACTCTCTTGGACAGATTCTCGAGTAGCTGCATATAATCCCGCTCAGAAACTCTTTATGTGTGTGGACTGCGAGTGTGTGGGTTTTTTGTCACGTGTGGCCGAGCATTGGCTTGGAGCCCATGCCAATCTAAGGGTGTTTGCTTGTCCTCGATGCCCTTACACATCAGCCTGGTCTCGTTGTGTCAAAATGCACTTGACAAGACAACACAATGAACAGTTTGCCGACACTAATATGTGGAAAGAAAATTCAACCTTAATGGAAGTGACACGTCTCATGCAAGAATTACGAAATAAAGTAGAGAATAGGATCGACTCCAGTAATACATTAGCAGATAAACGATTCTATTGTCCTCATTGTCCATATGCCACTGATCGCCGTGATCTATACACACGACATGAAAACATCCACAAGGACGATAAACCTTTCCACTGCTACCTTTGCTTTAAACAATTCAACAGAGCAGACCATGTAAAAAAACATTTTGTCCGAATGCATCCTGAAACAGAATACGATATTTCTAAAATACGAAAGCAACCAAGTAGTGGACGTGGCGGTGGTCATTCTCCACCATCACCACCTGCACCATTACCTCCAGAGATTCCACAACCACCACCACCACCACCACGTGTAATGACACCAGTTGTCTCGCCCCCAGTTGTGATCCCTCCAGTGCCATCTTCACCCACTGCCACTCCTGCAGTGACTGATGCAGACTTGGCTCCCTTAAGTGCCCCGTCCACACCTGGCGAGTGCAGTCCACCATCTCCTGGAGCTATCACAAGCATGGGCATGGGAATGAACATGTCGGGGGTGGAGAGTCCAGAACCCGGACGCAGTCGAAGACGAGGGGAACGAGCATACACTTGTCCTTATTGCCACTGGTCTGGTAGTGATAATTGGTGTCTCAAACGGCATATGAACACCCATATAAAGCCTTTTGCCTGTGTTATGTGCGATTACAAAGCTGCCCGAGCTGAACGCCTGTCAACCCATGTGTGGAAGGTCCATAACAAGAGGATCTGTAACAAGTGCAACTACCTGGCTGAGACACAGGAGCGCCTATTGGAGCACACACGTGAAGAACAGTGAGTATTAAAAGCAGTTTGTTTTCTGATAAAGAAATTTGCTTTGAACTAGACATAGCATTCAAACCTATGAGATAATTAAATTGCCTGCAACATATTTTTTATATAATGTACAGTAGTTTAATAATTAGCATTTTCATACAAGCAATATAAAGTATTAATTCATGCAACCAACAATGTACAAATACTATGTACTGTAACTTATTGGTACAATGGTCTTTCTCAGTCACAACAACCCATATTCAAGACGGTACATCTGTTCATCATGTGGTCTCACCTTTGACACTCGACCAGCTCTGGAGACTCATCAGCATCTCAGTCATCCTCACCTAGCAAGCCCCACAACTACTACTGCTGCTCTTCTTCCAGCTGTTCAGGATGTTGCACATGATTTGTCAATAAGAAGTGAATTAAATTCGAATGCTTCTCAAGTTTCATCCCCTCTTGTATGTCCTGTGGAAGGCTGTGGGCACACAGTGAGCAGTGGTGGAGCTCTTGCAGAGCATGTGCGTGGTGAACATGGAGGTGCAGGTGGATCTTGTTGTCCGCACTGCGGTTATCAACTAACCCATGATGAACTGTCTAGGGACCACTGGCTAACTCATCACAATGAAGTTTGTGCTGCATGTGTTCATGTTTTTACTGCTGTATATGGACCACAATTATGGAAGAAAGTACATGTCCGCCCTGCCTCACTTGAAAGTCCTTTAGATGCTATTGTAACGGGCCTCAATCGTAAACGCACCGCTACTGATGTTTTACCAAATGTGCCATCAGTGATTACTCCCCTTGCACTTGTAGTAGCATCTTCTCTCCCACAAAGAGATACCCCTTCTCCAGACTCTGACCAGCAGGATACAGACAGTGAACGTTTTAACAAGCGATCAAGGAAGCAGAGTTGTCCAAAAAAAGTTATTACAGTGGCAGAGTCAGGATCAAAGACTGGTTCTATTTCAAATTCAGTGCGCAGGCGCTCACTTAGAAAAAGATATAGAGCAATGCTCAATCGCCCAAAGTTTTTGAGCCACCCTTGCCACAGATGTTCTCATCGTCCAGTCTTTGCTTCTCGTGCTCGCCTACAGTTACATGTAAAGTGGAGTCATGGCCGTCATAGTGCTGGACGTCGATGCCAACTCCACAGGGGCCACTCTTTGCCTGTACCCACCAAAGTCCATTAGTGAACAACTTCCTCATAATCTAAACAACGGGTAACCAACAACGTGTATCTTTTGCAGTTTTGGTAGCATTGCACCCATAATCTGTCTGTATATAATATAGACAGTTTTTAAAGTTGCATACAAAATATCGCTCATTACCTGCTCAGTGGTGCAGAGAAACCGAGTCTGCTGTATTATTATAATTTATGTACTCTGTGTTTGGTTAACAGAATGTAGTACATACTAATCCACTTTGCATGTGTTTTGGAAAGTTACAGCGACTCAATTTATTACGGTAATTCCTATATCCCTTCGATACCTATCCAAGTGGTTGTATTAATCTTACCTCTATCCCTCCATTTACAATTCCATTTTCATGCCCAAAAATGGCATTTCCACCAAGCATGCCCCAGAGTGACTAGTTTGGAACTTGTAAGTACAATTACCTCAACTTTGTTTTAAATTAATTATAAAACAAAATTTATGAATAAAAAGTAACTGCTGTTGAGGTGTATTTGGGGAAACACTTCAAGCTCACTTTAACTAGTATATAAAATGTGTGAATGGAGTGTGCTTGGCAGATGTCCATGGGTTGATTTAATCAGAGATTTGTTTGAGATTGAATGTACACGAGAAATTTGTAAATTAAAATTTTGTGATTGAGTGAATCTTGAGACCTGGTTGTGAAATAGTAAAGTAACTCTTGCAATGGTTGTGAACAGCTAATGGCTGCCCCAAATTGATTTTTTTTTTTTTTTTTTAAAGAATTGAGATATTTCCAATGATTGTATGGCATCCCTGGTATCACATAGTTGGAATCTCACCAAAATTAATGCTTGCTTCTATTAATATTATCTGTATAATATACTGTACTTAGATAGTAAGAAAAACTGCAGAGCATTTACATTTCTTATAAGAAATTAGTCTTTTACAGTTATACAAAGCATAATAAACATTTTTACTCTAATTTGTTAATAAAATAAAAAACTACTTGATGAAACATAAGTTGATGCCAGGGCATTGTATGGGAGTGTGACAGGGGTAGGGGGAGGGGGAGGGAGGGGAAAGGGAAAATTATACAGTTCTCATTGTTGGACTTCGAACTCCAAGTCATGTTTACAAGTCCATTTCAAACCAAAGATTTTGTTGATTTATTCTAGAGTTATGACTTTGTTGTATGTCATTGTTATGTTGCAACCTAATGGATTTCTGTGATTATTGTTACAAATGGAATGTCTACTGATTTGACCTTGTCTTGTGGGTCAAGTTCAACTATGGTCTGTCTGAGTGTACTTAACCTGCCTTCTACAATTATTTCTTGGACCATTATTCCAAGAAAAGTGTGCTTTATTTATTTTTTTGTTTTCTTTTTAACAGTTGTAGACTTGGCCTTCTAGTCAGACTGTTGCCAAAGTATAAATATTTAACAATTCAATGAGCTATGGTATGCCCAGCCACAATGTAATGAATACTGACCAAATGTCTGGTGCTAACAAGCATTTTTGTCCATAGTAGTAATTTATTTAATACAACCTTCATCCTTCAATTTACACAGTATCTCCAGTGATTATGAACATTTAGATTTGATTAAGTATTTTTTGAAGTAAATTGTATTTCTCTATGACTTGTTAAGATTTAAAGTGTTTGTCAGAACAGCACGTCGGGTTTCAAGTAACTCGGTGGAAAAAAAAAAATGTGCTCAAACCAACATGTAATGTGCCTAAAGCAGTTTATCAGCCTTGTACATAACATTTTATGACTGTCGAGTAATATTATTCTTTCTAAACACAGCTCAGGACTGTAGTTGTGAATAATTTTTAATTACCTAAGCAATGCCAACTACACGAGAGGATAAAGCTTGAAAACCATTTTCTAAAATGTTCTTCGAGTTGAAAAGTAATGCGTCAGTTAAGGCCAACAATTTAATACCAAGCATCCTCTTCTGTCATGCTGGGAATATTAAGCACATTGCAGTTTTTCATTATGAATACAAAACTCAGTGATGCAGAAATGGTACCTGGAGTCACCTTGTAGCCTATATAGAGAGGTGGACCAAGTTCACGTTGTAATGATGTGAAAGTTATATCAAAATATTTTTAAATTACTGTACTGTAATATGATCTTAAATATTAATGGTTATGCTGTATTCATGTACATTAAATAGCCCTTCTGATGTGGCTATTCATTCTGTAAATTAGATAAAAAATACCCAAGACAAAATAAAAATTTTGTATGCATTTTCTCATGTGAACTTGGTCCATGTAGCAGGGTATTCTGATAACTTATACGACTTAATGCTCACCTTTGTGTGGGATGTAACATCGAAGTTTCAACTGTAATCCTGTACTCAAGTAAGTCATATTCTGTAACCCATTTTGTATTATAAGAAGTCATGATTTCTCCCTTCCATTATTTATAGTTGACATAGAATAAACTAAGTGAATGACAAGTGCCATGTCGGTATGTCATTTTTCTGAGAAACAAAAGTTGCTCCACTTAACATACAATATACACATCTTTTATGGATTTAAATTAGTACAGTATAAAAATATTTTTAATTTGATATATGCTGTTAACCATATTTGTAGAAAGAAAAAGAACATAAAGAGCAAATCTTATTTTTTAATTACGTATTTAAATTTATAAAAGATGTGCATAACGTAGGTCGCTGGACATATAACTTGGATTTTTATTCAGTTTCCATCTTTATTCAAGTGATCCTGAATTCAACAGGGCCACTTCTAGAAAGGAATTGTTGAGAAATCCTTCTGTTCTATGGAATATTATTCCTATTTGTTACAAAATGCTTTATCTGGTATAATGAGAAGTAAAGATCAGTTTTATTTCTCATTTATGAATAATCAAATATATTAAGCAATTGGTATCTTTACAACCAAAATTTTCACATCTGTTGATATCCAAAATTGTGTAGATTTTTTTTTTAACCCAAGCGAGATAAAGCTTAATAAATACCTTGTAACCTGCGTCTGTGTTAACATGTTTACACCAACCATTCCCTTAATGCCTTGGATTACCTCTTATTATGTACTTTTTCATACAAATAAAATATATTAAAATTTATTATTCTAATTTATTAAAAAGGATGGATTAACTAGTAAAGAGTACAATGTATTGTATGTTTGTGTTATATAATCTCTTAATAAAATAATTATTATAGCAAAAGGCACTCTAATGCAAAGAAAAACTTTGGTATTGCCTATCACAGTGAAGAGAGTGCCACTACCATCACAGTGGGGGGGGGGGGCCCCCCTGGCACCAGTCACAGGGGGCCCCCCTCCCCTTGGCACCAGTCACAGAGGGGGCACCACAGTCACAGTGGGGGGGGCCCCCCCCTGGCACCAGTCACAGAGGGGGGGGGCACCACAGTCACAGTGGGGTGCCCCCCACCCCCTGTTACCACAGTCACAGTGGGGTCCCCCCCACCCCCTGTTACCACAGTCACAGTGGGGCCCATGTTACATGGTTAATGGAAAATATTTCTTGCGACAGTGTGTGTGTGTGTGTGTGTGTGCGCATGAAAATTAAACTAATGAATATATATTGTCAACCATGACAATACTAGCATATCAAAACATGGTGAAGTGTATAGTGCTTGTTTAAGCAGAAACAAATGAGGTCCCAAAATTATATTTATAATAAATTATGAAACTTTTTACACCAAAATATCATCAATAAAGATCATTTGCGGATCAGTATTCATCCAGTATGGATGAACATAAATAGTAAGTTAAAGAACAAAGTAATAATAATAATTTATACAAAGTTATAAAACACAGTATCACCATTTTCTATGATAAAGGAACAAAAGTATTAAGCAAAATATCTTGCATCTCTAAATATTTTACTGAGTAAGAGAAACACTCACAGTGAATGGTAATAAACAGTATTGATATTAGGCAAGTTTTATTAGTTTAAATAATATATGATAAAATATTGCCACATATCACTTACTAAATTCTCTCTGAACTTACTTTTAAATTAAAGCCATGGATTAATATCCTTATCCTCACTGTTAGAATGTCTTACACAGCTAACATGGGATTTTTGTACATGTAATAACCTGCTCTAGAAATAATTAAAATAGTTTATACATACATTTTAAATAATGTCGGTAGTCTGAAAATACAAAATAGCTCATTAATATATTAGTTTTCAAAATCTTGCAAGTTTACATAAATAAAAATTGCATTCAACGAAGAATGTATACGATTCACAAACCTTACAATCGTTGAAATAAGAGACTTTTACAGCTTAACTCTCTTAATAAGACACTTAACACTGACATTTCACACACACAATGAAATTCAAAGCAAAACCATTCATTAAAATCAACATGTATATTACCTAGCAATATAGCTCATAGCAGACAAGTCAACAGCTGGAATACTACAGGAAATAAGATTGTCATCAGTACTGAAATAAAAGTAGTAGGTAATTATCAAAAGAAGGTGCCAGTGAAACTATGTAGCACCATTGAATTAAAAGAAAGGTAGATACACTCATTAATGTTATGATTTTTTAACTATGCAACATATTATCTCCAATTATCTAATATGCTGCTTCTGTAATTTTTAATGCAAGATTATTTCCCGAGAATTGTCTATAAACAATAGGTCAGTGATTCTTAACCTTTCTTGAGCCCTGGATCCCTTTGAAAATCTGGCAAAAACTATTGACCCCCTCCCTAGAAAAACTACACACAAACACAACTTTTCATGCGATGAATTTACTGTACTGTTTTCTCTTGAAAACTGACGCCTCAGTTTTTTTGACTTTCGTGGATCCCCTGAATCTATGGATCTATGGACCCTTTGGGGGTCTATGGACACCAGGTTAAGAACCCTCTGATTTAGGTTATTAAACAACTCATTAGTATTTTCAAATGAAAAATGACGAGTAAAACTTTGCCTTTGCTCACATGTTCAATTTCAGGCTCATGTTCACACTAAGAAAAGATGCTGCCATACATGTATTACAGCGCCTGGTAATGTCACATGAATACACACAGAAATCACAATAGCATGATATATCAAATGAACAAATCCACAAGGGCTATGATGAGGGTAGTGTGGTGTAGTGTCACATGCAATTACTGTAGTTTGGATACGTGAAGAGCTTTCAGAGATGCTAGTTATTATAAAATATGGCAATGAGAAAAATGGAGATAAACGTAGAAAAATAATTTGCAGTGTGGCTAAAATAATCTAGCAGTGAGAAAAGCATTAAAAAGGAGGTACAGAAATTTTTGTTTAAAATTTTCCATCACTTAAAAGATGCCAAGACCTCTCTACTTCATGCACCCTTACCCTATGGAACTCAGCTCAGAATCTAAAGCTGTTTAAATTTTTAACGTCATTTCATCATCAACTCTACAATACAAACATCAACACCAATGTGGATTCCTGGTCTCATTAAACAAAATGAAACGGGAGAAAGTTCAGAAGTATGACATTAAACTAGATACATAACTTGGAGGACTGAGTTTTAGTTAAAGACTAAGTGACTTTAACCTTTTGCCACTGGAAGAGAAGAGAGAAGACATATTCATCACATATAAAAATTTCCAGAGGAATATAGAAGGTAAACATGGACAGACTATTCAGATTGGGTATTATGCAAACAAGAGGCTACAGGTGAAATCTAAGATCCCAAATGAGCCAATAAACAACAAGAATAATTTTTTTCAATGTAAGCATAGTGAACAAATAGAATGCATTAAGAAGTGGCGTGGTAAAGGCAAACTCGACACAATTTCAAAAGTAGATCTGAGAGGTGACAAAAGACTGGACCATTAGTCAACCGGAATATAGGTTAGAGGCAGAACCCAAGAGTCATAGCTCATCCTTGCAAGTACAATTAGGTGTTCTGCATGATCACTTTCTTTCCCCCAAAAATCATAGGTCTATTAATAATTTCATTAAGTCTTTTGTTATTTCCAGTGTTAACTAGTTATTATTCATAATATTAAGAAAAAGTATTGTTATAGTTATGAGAGTAATGGCTTGACAGTTTGTGATTAATTGTACAGTAAGGAGGTGAAGAATGCAATACTGGGTATAATGCAGAATATATAAAAATTTGGGTTAAATATTCTTATTTCCAGACGTTTTCAGTGACTTGCCTCTCACCATATACTTTGCAGTTCCCATTGCCATAGGTATGAAGCCTGCTAGACTTATCAAGGTCCCAAAAGACAAATGACTGACCTTTCCCAGGATAAACCCCCACAGTACCTATTTACTATGAGGTGAACAGAGGCATCAGGTGAAAGGAAATGTGCCCAAAAGCCTCTGTTCTGCCGTGGGAATCAAGCCTAGGGAACTTTTACGTGAGAAGAATACACATACACACGAAAGAAAAAATCATTAAAATATACACACAAATTATTAATTTGCAGCAACAGATGTCCTAACAGGAAAACAAAATACACACAAACACACACACACACACACACGTACACAACGTGCAACGACATGCCACTAAGTGGCTCCCAGAACTGAAGAACAAGAGCTACGAGGAGAGGTTAGAGGCATTAAATATGCAAAAACTAGAAGATAGAAGAAAAAGAGGCGATATGGTCACTACGTTCAAAATAGTAACAGAAATCTATAAAATTGATAGGAAAGAATTCCTGAGACCCGGAACTTCAAGAACATGAGGTCATAGATTTAAACTAACGAAACAAAGCTGCCAGAGAAATATACGAAAATTCACTTTTGTAAATAGAGTGGTAGACAGTTGGAACAAGCTAAGTGAGGTGGTGGTGGAGGCCAAAACCGTCAGTAATTTCAAAGCGTTACATGACAAAGAGTGCTGGGGAGACGGGACACCACAAGCGTAGCTCTCATCCTGTAATTACACTTAGGTAATTACTAAAGATGGATGGGTGGATGAATATAGTGTAACCTCAACTTCGCAAACTATATGGGACCAACCCATATTCCTTGGAGTGAGATTCAACGCAACCGTAGATGCCTTTAGGAGGCTCTTGAGTTTTTTTTCTGTAAGGCCAAGAAAAATATATTGCTATGCCTGTTTCTCCAATTTTTAATTTATCTATGAAAATTATTATTAAATGTGATTTGAGCCATAAGTGTGATACCATTCATTCCCTATGGGTAGCTTTATAGGCTAATTTCATCAAGCAAAGCAAAATGTTAATTCCAAAACCATTTTTTCAAAGATAACAGGGGTCCAATGTTAGGTGAATAAAAACCACAAACTCAAAATGTAAATGAACCATAGAATTTAGTTATAATTATGTTCAATGGGTTTTCCAAGATTCCAACTTTTTTTTTCTAATGTTGCATCCATCTATGAAAATCATTTAAAATGTGATTGGAGCCTTATTGAGAGTTATCATTCCCACCCTAATATTTACCATATTCTATGTTATAATTTCACAAATGAAATTTTAATTTCAACCTATCATATGATGGAAAACTTTCCCAAAGGTCTGTAACTCTGGGTCCCTACCGCCTAAGCAAATCTGACATTCTCTGCTTCACTGAACACTTGTTTGGTGAAGCAGGTTGGTAAATCCAACCTGAAATGTGTGTTGCAACTGGACATTCGCAGAAATGAGGCTCGCTAAATCGAGGTGACACTATATATATATATATATATAATATATATATATATATATATATATATATATATATATATATATATATATATATATATATATATATATATATATAATATAGGTGTTAATACTGTATTTACAGATGTTTTATCTACATGGATCACTCATATCCACATGCTTTACAGTGTATTTCTCTTTTCACATACAGTATTGTGATTAGACATTCCCACATACACATTGTATGAATAGCTACATACAAAGGTCAACCCTCAGGTTCCAGTGAACTTCAGCACCTCACCAGCAGCAATTTTTTCCACTTTTATTACTATACCTCTTGTTAGAATGGACATCATCATCCCATTAGAGTAAATAAAAACACATATATACATATGCTGTATATGCAAGAAAAACCACAGAGCAATGGAAACATAATCTTAATACCGGTGTTCCACAAAGAGCCTCTTCAGAGATTAAG